ACTTCAGTAGGCCCTGCTATAATTTAATTAGCTTTGTGGTTCCCTTATATTGAGTTGTTTTTGTTTTGTTTCTCAGGTCTTATCAGTGTGTAGGAGGGTTGCTCCTACAATTAACTTGTGGCTGGCTGGCTGGCTGACTTACTGTAGCAGTCTGCATCTTTGGGAACTGTGAGGCTCTGCTACTCGTTACCCAGCTGTGGTAGCTTAAGTGTCTCCAGACCCATTTAGTTTCATATCATCCAGACACAATTGGCCGCTTCTTTAGTTCTCCAACTTAATTTCTTTTCTCTCTTCCACATCCTGTGACTTCAGAGTTTTGTTTTTTTTAATCTCTCTATGGTTTAAAGCATGGTCCTTTACTTTCTTAAAGTCCCAGGGAACACAAAACCATGAGAAAGGAAAACACACAGAAATTTTGAGTTTTTCCTTCCACGGGTCTGTAAATTAAAGTCAGTCTCGGAATAGAGATTATAGATTTAATGATTTAGGTATCGTCTGAGTCATATAAGATAAAGAGCAAAAGTTAGACTAACCAGCCCCGCAAGTTTTAAAAGCATCAGAGCTAAAGGGACATGTCCATTAAAACATGTTTATAATAAGGTGGGGACGAAAAAAATGTAAGCAATATTGCAGCAACTGCAATCCGATGGATTTTTGTGGCCCCATCGAAGTTAAAAGCAGTTTGGGTTGTTGATCTTAGGTGCTGCAATAATCTTGAACGACTGCATTCCTTGTCTGGGACACAACCCAATTCTGAACTGCAGTATGTTTCGTTTCAAAAATGAAGAAATCTATAACAATATGTCATGTATTCATAAGAGCTGGCGGAATTATTATAATTCCTTACCTTGTTTACACTCTTGGAGACCTGGAGAGGTAGTTTATGGCTAGTCCAATTATTTGATATAACAGCAGAGCAAAAAAATTGGGCTTTTCGTGGATGAAAGCTATAATAGGAAACCATTTTACTTTCTCCTATTCCATCCTGGGCATGTCACCTTCTATCTTTTGCATACTGAGTGGAGTCCAGTTCATTTCACTAGGCAAAAAGCAAAGGGAATTTGGCCTCGGAGTGAAGTTTATCTTCTAACATGGACATCCTTCAAAATTGCACGTCCTCTCACTTATTGTGTCTTGGCAGTTGTCATCCAGTAGCCTGGTAATCATAACAGATAATCGCTGTTTGAGCCTATAAATCAAATCAATCAATCAATAAAGTAAATAATGCATCCTGAATGTGCATGGCTTCAAATTTAAAAAAGATACGTGGTGCCCAGCCCTAGTTTCTCTTGGGCTTTAGGCCTGGGGGGAGAAAAATCCATTGCAGATTATTTAATTTGGCATCAACAGGAGCTTTTATCCCACCATGTGTTTATTGTTTTAGGGTAATCTGTCTCCATAGTCTTTGCTGCTTTAATTAATGAAAGCATCTGTTTATTTGTCTTCAGCCCATGAAGATGGGCCATTGTTCAGAAGTCTGGGACTTGCATTTAGGTTTCAGGTTTTGTCTACTTGTTCCCAACACTTGAAAGTTTCTTTCATACCCTGGCTGAGGATAGAAATGGGTGCTTTCTCCTGAAGTGGAAATGCCTAGTATGGCCAACAGTAAGATACGTTGGATGAGAAGTTCAGGAAGATCTAGCAAAGCCCAGATGTGTATATTAAGCAATTGTGGTTTTAAATTTAAGCTCTTTGCGCCTAATAAGGAACAATGGTGTTAAGTGCTAATTGAGATCACCAAGCATACTTTGTTTTCAACGTTCTGTATTTCTTTCATAACAGAGCATGGTGGAAAAATATCCAGAGGTAGTCTTCATTGAAATTGATGTGGATGATGCTCAGGTAAGTTCTGGGGTAGCACTCCCAACTTTGGAAAGGCAATGCAGTATATTCTCATAAAATCCCAGGATTCATATAACTTGTAGTTACGTCAGGCTGGTTTATGAGGGAAATTATGCAAACAGCAGTATGGTCTGACTAATGAAGATGAAAAGTGGACTTTCTTGTTTAAATATTCCAGGAAAACTTTTGAAGAACTCAGCTTTTGTGGGGTGAGCAAGTTCTTTATTTTTTTTATAGCATGAAGTGAACCGTGTTGTAATTTGGGTGAGGAGGAATGTATATGCAGTTAATTTAAAATGCCTTCAAAGCTGTTTAAAAATGTGCAAACTTCAGATAGTTTTCTGTGTGAATAATGTTGATGGAACATAAACGAGTTTTAGTTCTCTTTTTCAATTTGGGTGGAGAAGCACAATCTCTAATAACAGAAGATTTATAGCAGGGCTGTCAAACTCACGGCCCGTGGGCCAGATGCGTTATGCGCTGGCCACGCCCATGCCCGGTTTAGCAAAGGGGAGGAAAGTCCCAATACCTCACATGACAATGCGAGTTTGACACCCCTGATCTATAGTATTGATAGGGGGCCTGTGACGTGTGATAGAGAATTTGTGACCTAAGATTATCATTGATCAGGCTAATTGAGACTTCTAGGATCTGAAATTTTATTATGTCTAGAAGATGCTGTGAGTTTAGTTGCACTTGCTTAGATTCTGTACTCCACAGAAAACACAGATGACTTCTAGATATAATAAATTGCTCATATTGCTCCTAAAGTGTTCATCAGAAGTTGCATTTTTCCCCAACTATGCAGCTCATACATAAATACAGCAAAAAAAAAACTTAATAAGGTGGGCCATAGCAAAGGATATGGAAATAAAAAAGGCAAATCATTGAACAGTGCAAACACCAAGCAAGCATGAAATAGAGTCCTGCTAAAAGGCTGGATGTATCAACTTCAGTTTGTGCAAATTTCAGAACTGCAGAACAGTTCAGCTACAACAATTTCCCCAGCAATTATTTGAAGTTACAGCACATTGATTGAATGGTAGTTATGACTAATCCTTGGAGTTCCAGTCATTCCAGCACCCCTGCAGATAATTGCAATCTGGGTTCTTGGCAACTGGTTCAAATTTATTAGTTGCAGCGGCCCACAATCGTATGATCACCACTTACAGCCTTCCCTGCTGGCTTCCCCAGGAAATCAGTGGGGAAGCCAGCAGGAAAGGCTGAAAGTCCCTCCCACCCATACATTCTACCCTGACCATTTTGGCTTGTGCCACACCACCGATCAGTCATGCACTCTTCCCAGCCCACGCCACACCTCTTGTGCACCTTCCCCGGTCTTCTCTCCCATACACTTCCCAATTCAGCCCTAGGCACCACTCAGCAGCCGTCACTTAACATGGCTGCCATCTTGGGACTTGCAACTTCCTGCCAGTTTTCCCACTGTCATCAGGAAGTTGCCTTGTCTAACAACCATGGGATTCAGTTAATGGTAACTAGGACTGAAGGCGTTGCCATTTCTAAGCAATGTGGTTGTGCTGTTTGACTGCTTCATTTAGCGATGGAATTTTGGTCTAATCTAAATTGACATCATAAATTGAGGAAAACCCGTGTATGTTTAAACAGCAGCAGCTTATAGCAAATACAACGTGTATTTTTAATAGTTTGCTTTAAAAACTTGAAATGTGGCTTTTCTCTTTCAAAACACAGAACCAAGCCCATATGTTTCCGTATTTACTCTTAACTAGCTCAACTACCAGGTGTTCAAACAAAGGCCTAGGTGCCATAGATTAAATGTTGAAATATTACATATACTACAAGTACATGTAATATGAGGTACAGCCACTCCCTTTGAAAGAAAGGTCTGGGTGAAATTGTATCTATAGGAAGATTTAACCAGCTTTCTGAATTGTGCAGATATAAGCCAGAACTTTTAGGCAGCTTTCATCAAGTTTTGTTGAATAAGTTGAACTCTCAACAGTTCGTTAAACCGTTCTGGGTAGATCCACATAACATACAAAAGCCAAAGCTGAACATATTATGATTTAGCAAATAGGATTCATATATTTGCCTACCGTACATAAACTGCATTGGGAAGCCTGATATTAAACCAGTAACATATTTTGTTGATTGAATTATTATCTTGTCAAACAAGTTAATTGAGAAATGTGGCACGTGAAACAATTTTTTCCCAAGTGTGCCTTTTTATATAAATGAATCCGGATCACTTGAAATAAAAGTACAGCTTAGTTTTTGATGTCTTGATAGTGAGGTATTTGGCAGTGTTTAAGTTGTGCAAGGTGAAGTATGGCGTTGCCCTAAGTATAAGACAGAGGGCTAATTAAACTTGTTTTATGTAGCTTGGAAGCAAGGGAGGGCCATCAGAAGTAATAAGCTTTTATTAGCTTGATGAGTAAACAGAACTGTCTCAAGTTAAAATCAGACATAAATGGTGTCTGCATTTGGCCTTTAACAAAGCCCTTAATATGCATAGATGACATTTATATTAACTGCTGGAGTAGAGAAAAAGCTATGTTTGCTTCCCTCAGGTGGAATGAAAATGGATGGAATGTTTTTTAGTTTTAGTAAACTAAAAAAAGGGGAGTGTTCTCACATTTGACACGTTATATAACAATTTGTAATTCATCCTGAAATGCTAAAATTGCAGCATTCCTTTCACCACAAAGGACGTTTTCAGATTGCTAGGTGTTGCCTTGGATATCTTCTTAGGGAACCCCGTGAGTTGTAGTTTGGTCAATGCTGTCAGATTAACATAAACTCCACAAGCCTATTCTGGTAAGGAGGAGTTTATTAGAAAACGTGGCCTGAGACTTCACAAAGTTCTTGGCATTTTCCAGTCATTCATAAGACAAATTACAGAAATATAAGGTAGATAAAAGAATGCACTGGAGAGTATATGATAAGGGGAAACTACCTGGAAACCACTTCTGGACTTTGTGCTTGTGATGGAAAAAAGTAAAACTTTGCCTTTGGGGTTTGCCAGTTAGATACGTTTGATGTTATAGAAATGGCTAATATATACAAGTATATAAAAGTAAACAGTTGAGATACGTTATCTTATTACACTAAATGGAGTCAGAAGACAAAGCCTTTTTCTTTTTCCCTCTGCTCTACACTTTTTTCTCTTCCTGTTTTCCCTCCATTATCTTTGTTTTTCTTCATATGTTTTGTACTTTATATTTTGATAAACTATTAAAATGTGTTAACTGGAAAGAATTTTATTGTTCCCTTCTGTGATATCTGGAAGCTACCAGATTTCTTATCTCACTAGAGCTTGTTTCACTTTTCTTAACCTCAGAGATTCTCAGAGGAAAATGCCCACCTGTGATTCATTTTGATAAAGAGATTTTTGTCTTTTCATCTTTGCAAGACACCGAGGCTGCCTTTTGCCTCAAGTTGCAGTGCACTCGAATGACAGAAGGGGAAAGAATTCTGGGGCACAAAGAAAGGATTCTGTTCGCGTCCCGTGTCAGACTGACTGGAGTAACCTTTTCCATCTCTTCTAGGATGTGGCCTCACACTGTGATGTGAAGTGCATGCCAACATTCCAGTTCTACAAAAATAATGAAAAGGTATTTGCTTTCAGATTTCCGGCAAAACCTGCACTGAGCGTGTTTTGCGGGGGGGGGGTCCAGATGCATTCTCACCTTTAAAAGATTTAATCTGAAATTTGGTACGTGGCCGCATTCATCTGTCCCAAGCTTCCACGCTTACAGGTAGTCCTCAACTTACAACAGTGCGTTCAGTGACCGTTTGAAGTTACAACGGCACTGAAAATAGTAACTTAATGACCATTTTTCACACTTATGACCGTTGCTCCATCCCCATGGTCACATGACTTACATTCAGATGCTTGACAACTGACTCACATTTATGACGGTTGCAATGTCCCGGAGTCATGTGGTCTCCTTTTGCGAACTTCTGACGAGCAAATCAGTGGGGAAAGCAGATTCACTTAACAGCCACGTTACTGATTGAACAACTTCAGTTGATTCGCTTAACAAATGTGGCAAGAAAAATCATAAAATGAGGCAAAACTCCCTTAACAAATTTCTCACTTAGCAACATATTTTTTGGGCTCCATTGTGATCTTAAGTTGAGGACTACCTGTAGTTTTTTTCTCCTTGAGTTCTAGATGAGCTTTAAATATTGAGTAAGAGGTATTCTTTTGTACAATACTAATATGGTAACTTTAAAACAGGTTTGTGAATCTAGTAACCCTTGAGTTTCAGGAACCAAGATCAAAATATATGCTACCATCCTTTTCAAAAACCATTTTGTCCCCTAGTAAGACCTAGGAAGAGTTATTTTTTCCAAAGCAGCCCCTGTTCTCTGGAACAATCTTTCCCACTGGAATCTCAGAGGCCCCCTCTTAGCCTTCCAGAAAGCTATAAAGAATTGGTTTCTCCCCAACTATTGGGATAGGGTGAGGTTGAAGTCTGGGGGTTGAGCTGTTAGTTGATGTGGTAAATGATGGTTGGCAGCAGATTTGGGGTTTTAATTATTGTGAGCTTTTCAGAGTTGTGTTTCATATGATGGCTAACCATAAGTCTCTTTTAAGTATTATATACTTCAGAAAATTATATTGTTCGTGGTAAAATTTTAGTTAAGCAGTGTTCACTTCCTTGATAACAGCATGGAATCAACATTAAACAACCATTTAATGTTGGCAATATCTGTTAACAGAGGGACAACCCTTGAAGTAAAAAGCCTTAAACGTAAACTCTCTGTATTTCAGGTGCATGAATTTTCCGGAGCAAATAAAGAAAAGCTGGAAGAAGCGATTAAGAAGTATATGTAACCAAAGGTTCTTAATTCACGACCGACTGTTAAATTATAGCCTTTTCTACATAACACACTGATCAAGTTAGAATATGTATTCAGATACACACTGACCCTTCAGTCTGTAAATGAAAATAATAAAAAGTATATAAAAGGTTCTGTGTCTTGCTTGAACTCCTGCCAAATCGACCTACCTGAGTAGCAACCTTACTATCTAGTCTGCCTTCAAGGGCTTGTGACTTGTCTGTGGGTGAGTGGACTGTGTGCGTACATGGATACGTTGGCACTTTTTCCTACATTAACCCTTCCCGGGGGAATCTTGGCTTTGAAAAGGTGCTTTTTCAAATTAGACTTTATTTTTTTCCCTGGTGTTTCACTTCTCATCCCAGAACTTCAGTTCTGAAGAAGACCGAAGAAGCTTCTGGTTTTGAGAAGTGAAATGTTTCAAAGAATCAAGGAAGTCCAGCTGCCTTTTGGAAAAATCCATGACCTGGATGATGGAGAATCTCTACAGACTCTTGAATAGATCATTGGAGAATCTCCATAGATAGTTTGAGAGGGAGATTTCTTGGGCAAAGATCCTGTGTGCCTAGGTGGGATGAGCAGCAAGCAGCCATACTTTCATGGTATAAAACCAAATGCAACAAGCCCCAGCACACGTACCATAGAGCATCCTACTGTATATTATCTTTTGTGTATTCTTACTGTGTTTCTCATATAATAAGGCCGGGTCTTTTTTTTTTTTTTTTTTTTTTTGAGCCCCGAAAAAATGGCTAGGCCATCTTTTCAGGGGTGACTTAATTCCCCCCCCTTGCATCTTTGGGCGGGCGGGCGGCGACGGCTTGGATGTTGATCTCGGCGTTGGTGAGGCACTTAGTATCGGGGTCAACGCAGGCAGCACCATATCCGGGTGTGCAACAAAAGTACTTCCTAACGGCAAGCCCCCCTCACCATTCCCCCCATTTTGCATGTTTTAATATAGGCCTTAATTTGGGGGGAGGGGCTTAATTTCATTTCATGCCTATGAAACATGCTGGGACTTCCTGTTAGGGGAGGCCGTATTGTTGGAGAAACAGGGTAGTTGGATTAGAACTGGGCAGAAATTGCAGTGGTCTATCAAAATGATGAGTCGGGAAGTTCAGAAAGTAGCTGTCCTGGGGATGGAGAAGTCTCTAGTGATTTATCCCCTATAGAAACGACAGAAGCTCTGCAACTAAGAGACTCCTATGGACATTTCCTCCTGATATCTCACTGAAGAGTTTTAAATGAAACTCAAACAGGCAGTGGACTTCTGGAAAGATTAGTGGAAAATAAAAACCAGTGCATTCCTACACATTCTTTGGCCTCTCAAAACTAAAGAAGGACTGTAGCATTCTTAACTATTAAACTTTCTTCTTCTACCATATAAGACTTGGGGGTGGGGGAACTATCCGCCCAGCTCTAGTTTTAATAATTTGGGTATAATTCAGGATTTTTTTCAAAAAAGCAATTGATATTTAGGAAAACATCAGAATATTCAGATTAAAAATAAGGATTACTGGTGGCAATAGCATCCTTTACAAACAAATTGGGACTGGAGCTTGTGTTATTAAGCAAAACATTAAGTAATGTTACATTAAGTAACACCTGATTTTATGACCTTTTTCTTGCGGTCATTTTTTTTTTTTGTAAATTTTATTTGAGTTTTCACAAAGAGAAAAAAAAATACAAATAAAACATCTTTTTTGAAAGCAGCATAATCCTGGGTTACATTTCTTCGTACAGACACAAATTCAGGTTCATGCTCATTTTTATATTCTATTCCATATCTTACTATTTTACATTTTCTGCATAGCTTCTCCCCTGTTTTAATTTTCTCAATTTTATTTTAATTATCTCAATTCAGATCATTGTATTTATATTTTTTGTCTGTCCTGTTTCAATTATCTATTATCTTTTCTCATTAAACAAAATTTCTCCTGTAGTTACTGATTGGAGTATGACACCTTTATATCTTTTCCCTAAAGTTGTAACATTCAATATACATAACTTCCATTCGGATTCTGCTTGGTACATTCTTAAAATACACACTGTATTCTTAAAAAAAAGAAAAAAAATCATAAATGTATATAATTAAAACAACATTCCATTCCAATTCAATTCTATCAATATTAATATTCATTAAATTCTTAACATCTTTAACATTACTTTTCAATTAAATATCATACTTTTATGGGAACAATTATAAGCTTTCCATAGTTAATTCCCCCCCTTCACTTATATTTTATAAAACATTAATTAAAATGTTCCCATTCCTTCCTAATTCAATTTTCTCATTTATTTTATTTCACTTATTTTATTTACAAACATTTCACTAAATTACACTATTTTATCCCTCATTTTAATCATACGTTGTTTCCAATTTTCTAAAGTTATTTCTATTACTAATATAACAATACAATCTTATGTACCTTTACAGAATCCCTTTTTCAGTTAGATTTTCACCCATTATCTCTAAATAGGTCCTGTTTCTCTATATCTTGCCCCGGTCCTTTGTAACTTCTTTTCCTTTCCTTCTTCCCTCTCTTCTTCTCTCTCCCCTTTTTAACCCCTTGTCTACCTCTATTTCTCTCTTCTGTATTCCCCTTTTCTGTTGCTTTCCAGCATTATACTTATTTTTCAAATAATTTTTCTTTTCTTTGGTTGTTTTTTTAAGTCTTAAATTCTCCATTCTCTTCCCCCCTTTCCTTTTTCTTCCCCACATAGAATTACTTGTTCATTAAAGATGGCTTCTTCTTTGTCCCAGTCTTCTTGTTTTGCAGTCTTTTCTTGTTGTTTGTCATAGTTCCAAATCTCCATTTCTAAGAATTGAAAGACAAAGCAAAAAGAACCATTCCCTTCTTGTGCATCTTCTTTGTACTTTTTAAGTTCCATTTTAAATTCATCCAGAAGTGGTGCCATTGTATACATTTTTAAACAACCACCCGATTGATTTTAGTCATTCAAATATAATAACCAAAAATACAAAGATCACCAAATAATCCAAATACACACAAGCTGTTTCTTTTTTGCTCTTTTTTTTCACTTTCTCTTCCTGGGGTTACTATTTAGTTGCAAAGTTTCAGTTAAAATGTATCTTTTAGAAGTCTTGTTGAAGTTTTACTTTAATTCTTTCTAATTCCAGGCAGTCTTCTCTCTCTTCCAGATCCTGCCCTTATTCTTTTTCTCTCCCTTCCTGCTTATGAAAAAGAAAGTTTTTAATGTCCAGAAATCTTTATTATCCCTTTGGCATTTTGTTTTATTTTCAGCTTAATTGCCTATTGATGTCAAAGCGGATTTTTCTGATTTCTTATTTGTTTCTTATATAGTTGTCATATAGGGAAGGAGAGAGAAGAAAAAAAAAAGCCAAACCTTTCCCTTTTCACTTTCCTTCGCTGCTTCCGACTCTTCTTTGGGAGTGATGTTATTTTTTGTAAGTTTAAATTCCAGGGTACCTTAGCTGTTGCTTTTACAATTTAACCCGGTCAGCCAAAACTTTCACTTCTTATCTTCCTCCTGCACATTCTTTTCCAGTCGAGTTCTTCTTTGTGGTGGCCATTTCTGACCACCGCTGCAACCGCCTTCGGGAAAGGGAGTAATGGCCAGCTGAGGAGGAGAGATGCGGCTCTCCTTGACCCTGCTGGCAGTCTCCCCCCTTCTTCACCACCTCTACGGAGTGGCTTAGCCCCGAAACCAGCTGGCTTGGGGTGCTCCAGCGGCATCGCCGAAGCCCTTCAAACTGGAAGTCCCTTTCATTAAGAGAATCACCATGGTTGACAAACAGACCACACAGTCATTGAGGAAATCCAGCTTTCTTCATTGACTTTGCTTGTCAAAAGCTGGCTGGGAAGGTTACAAATGTGACCTAGGACACAGCAACCACTGTAAATATGTGCTATGGTTGCCAAATGCCCAATTTTTGATCATGTGACTAGGGGTACTGCAACCGTCATACATGTGAGGACTAGTTATACATCACTTTTTCCCCAGTGCTGTCATAACATTGAAAAGATTGCTAAATGAATGGCTGTAAGTTCAGGATTACCTGTATTATTCTTACCAAAATGTACTTTTCAAAGTAGCAAGAAGAGTTAATAGGAACAATGAGAGGGTTGAGCAAGGAGAGGAGTGATTTAGTCTGGGAAAATGGTGTTTTAAGAAGTTCCATGGAACTGGATCAGATAAAACAATAGAATTTTTTATTGGCCAAGTGTAATTGGACACACAAGGAATTTATCTCCGGTGCATAAACTCTGTACATAAAATCAGGATCGTATTCATAAAAATACATCATAAAGCATAAGATACAACACAGTGCTAGTCATGGGATACTAAATAAGCTACATAAATCATACTAGGATACCAAATAAAACAATATAAATCATAAAATACAAGCAACAAAGTTATAGTCATAAGATAAGGAGCGAGGTAATAGGAAAGATAAGAACAGTAATTCAGCCTTACTAGATAAATGCTCCTCAAGGGGAGCTTGTGCACATATGGGGTAAGCATGTTGTCTGAATCCATCTTTCAATGTTTGAAAGCCCATAATTCGTGACATCTCCTTATCTTCCTCTATGTCGGGATGTCAAATTGGATTTCTTTGAGGGCTGGATCAGCATTGTAGTTCTCTGCGGGCCGGGGGTAGAGGGGGGCAGGATGGATGCCTCCTGCAGCACCTTGCTGGCCAAAACAGGGCGTGGGGGTCCGTGCATGGCCTCTACCCCCCACGCCTCATTTTTGCCCTCCATGCAGTAGTGGGATTCAATTTTTTTTTACTTCCAGATCTGTGGGCGTGGCTTGGTGGGCGTGGCAGGGGAAGGATCCTGTAAAATCTCCCGTCAGAGGTGCCGATTCTCTGAACTACTCAAAATTTCTGCTACCGGTTCTCCAGAACAGGTCAGAACCTGCTGAATACCACCTCTGCCTCCGTGGCCTCCTGCAGCACTCCTGCTGGCTGAAAACAGGTTGTGTGGCCCATTTTTCAGGCCGTTTTTCAGCTCGTTTTAGGGGCGTTTTTCAGCCTGTTTTCTGCCCATTTTGGACCCTTTTCAGCATGGTTTTGGCTGGCAGAGTGCTGCAGGAAACCTTGGAGGGTGAAAACGAGGCACCGGGTGGGGGGGTACACGTGGCCCTTTTTAGCACTGAGGCACCGCACACCGGTCCCTTGATATTTCTAGGCTGGCCCCACAGGCTGAATTTAAGTACCCCGCAGGCCTTGAATTTGACACCTCTGCCCTATGTGGATGATGCTGTTATTCTATTGAGTGTTGGTCTTACTACCCTGGTCCAATACAGTCCTTAGGGAGATCTGAGGGCTAACTGTCCAAAAACTAAGGTAAAGGTTATCAAGAAAGCCTAAAAACATTAGTCAATGACAGAACAAGTTTAATTTTTTTTAAAAAAACATTGGAGGGGAAACACAATGGCAAAAGATGCTAGTTATGTTGCCAGTGTGGCCCAAAGAACTATTGCATCATATCATTCCACACAAGGTAAAAGGTTCCACCAGACAAAAGTTTGATTACAACTAATTTTTTACGCTGCTCTTGATCCATGTTCTGACTTTACCCTGCTGGATTCTATTCAATCTAAATTCCTTAGCTCTAGATTCGCTATTTCCAAATGCCTCTCAAATGCAACTTCTAGGCTAGAACCAGAGTGGAAAGAAGAGTTGAACTTTTAATCTTTCATGATTGGCTTATCTGTCAGCCACCGGGCTGTTCTGTTCAGTGGTACTTACCCACCCCCTTGGAAGAAACCATTTAAGCAAAAGCTCCTCGTGGCATTTCTCAAACACTTCATACAACCTTGTTTGGTTTCCAGTTAAAAAAAATCTGACTGCCTGGTCACTTGAAATTGAGTGATAGTATGATTTGAAATGACTGCTCAGCTTTTGTAGTTATCAAAAGCAATTGGAAGAAGCCTGCCTGCCTATGTTTACTCCCTGACCAACTTTGTTGGGGATTTACTCATTGTAACCCTCTTGCTTCTCCGTTATTCCAGAGGAGGCACAGCAATCTCCCCATAGTTCATTCTCTTTGTCCTTGTGGCACTCAAGAGTTGGAACTGTTAACACATAACTGGTAACCCTTGTGTTAACATCCATTCGTTCAGCAACCATCCAATGATACGATGGCACTGAAGAAGGGGACGCTCGGACAGTCCTCGCACTTATGACCATTGCAGTAGCCTCATGATTATGGTCACATTCTGCCCTACGTGAACTGCCTCTAGTTCATCTCTGCCCTTTTGGTGCCTTTCACAGCATGGTGGAGATGAAGCGGCTGCTATATTCCCCTGCCACTTAATACTTTGCTTAGTGAGAAATTCCAGTCCCAATTAGGTTCATAACCTGAGGACTACCTGTACTGCACATTTTATATAACCCTGTGCCAAAATCTTATGCTTCCAGTTCTAGCAGAAATTCCCAGTTCGTTTGTTGGTTTTCTGCTTGCCCAAAAGGCTTTTTCTGCAACCCACAAAATTTTGTTGTCGAGCTGTGGGGCTTCAGCTGGGCAGCCATAGTAAGTTTGAGAATGGATCACTGTAAGTGTGCATTTGTGTTTTATCTATTTTTATTCTTGTTTCTATTGTTTGCTCATTAAAGCTATACGGTGACAAATAAAACTGATTGTTTATGGCATATCATGTTATTTGTCAATCAACACAAGTTCACCCAACCATCCATAATGTGTATGATTATCATAATCTGGATGTAAAAACTATAGATGGATAAGAAAGGATTCTGTATGCTTTGTCTTTTCAGACTGCTTCTTTTATTCAAATTGGGTAACCTATTGAAAGCAGGATATAATAAATCTTCTAAGAGGCAGTTGTTTCTTTTGTCCTTGGAGTTCACATGATAATCCTGATTTCCTGTGGTTTCGGGCACACTTGAAGCAGGCTAGAGTGGCATAGTGGATTAGCCAAATCTTGGATCATTCTTGGTTAGAAGACAAAGTCCATAAGGAAGTGGAGATATGGAGATTTATGGAGTTTTCACAGGCAAAAACCTAGTGCCTTTTATACCTCGACTATTGCTTTTCCAAAGTTGTCTCCTTGGAGCAGTCCCATAAACGCAGCTGGCATGTTTTGGAAACCCTTGGTGATATCCTCACGCGATTTAATTTTTCCCTGTGTGAAAAGTGAAACATTAAAATGTATGCAGTTCTCCCTTGGGATTTACAATCTAAGAATATGTTTCTGCTCAAAATAGCAAGGGACAAGACAGAAGGAAAGCATTACAAATGTGTTTTAGAGACACACCCATAGCCACGCATTACACTGGAGTACATAAAAATCTATTCCTGAATGTATTTGAGAATAAAAATACTGAGCAATATTCACAGTAACTCCAGCATGTTCTTATCTGCCGACCAAAGTCTTTCCTTAGCCAAGTAGCGTGGCAAAGGGCAGCAAGTGAAATATGTGTTTTTTTGAGGTGATGGACTTGGATAAGAGAGACCCAGGTTGTGTATTCAATTGCAGAACTGGCTGGGCTGAATAATTAGTTCAATCTCAAAGGGTTGAACTTGCTATAAAATGAGGAGAGAATTTACATGGCTTTCTATCTTGGGTTCCCAAGAAAAAAAATGAGCTATCAAGGTCTTCTCCCTTTGGATTACACACAAGCACACAGAGATACATACACAGAGAGAGAGAGGGGGGGGGGGGGGGGGAGGGAGGGAGGGAGGGAACATCTCCTATTGTTAGCTTACCTCTTGAACCCATTTCAGTATTGCTTTCAGTCCTTCATTTTTCCTATCATTCCAACGTTTGACTAAAAAACCTTCCATGTACAGCTGTTTCATGACCATGGGGATCTGCACAAATGGGCCTAGAAGAGAATTTGGAGCAGGAAAAGTTAGGAAAGTTTGTCCCGTCACAGCATATCTCCAGAAGTGGTGCCACAAACTTTCTTAACTTACCCAAAGCTTACCCAAAGCTGCCTGTGTCATGTTTCCTAGTTTCCAGCAAGATTTTGCCCATTTGAAAAAGAGAGACAGAGTGAGAACAGTATTTTCCCAACTATGGTGGCCAATGTAAGCTCATTTCGTAAAATTTTTGCAAGTGAAATTATATTAAGCCTCCAACAACTGAACCATAGACATGAGCAGTGTCTCTTTCCAAATACGACCAAATGTGCAAATAAAACACAGCAAGTTTGCCTATATGTTGCTTGTATCCTTACGATTTATATTGACTGTTTCTTAGTATGATTTGATTGCTTATTGCACTCTATGACTATTATTAAGTGTTGTACCTGATGATTCTTGACTCTTGACAAATGAATCTTTTCTTTTATGTATACCGAGAGCATTTGCACCAAGACAAATTCCTTGTTTGTCCAACCACACTTGGCCAATAAAGAATTCTACTCTATTCTATTATTTCTATTTCTATTAATTCTATCAAAGCCACCCTTTGTGTTGTGATCCAAGGCTGCTCCTGAACTAAACCTACACTGATTTTCTTGTACACATACAGCCAAACAGCAGCTCAAAAGATATGGGAGCATCATTGGAATGAGTTGCTCTGAACTAGACAGCTGTGACTCGGCCACATTTTATCAAACTAGGCCGTATGATTTTGCTGTTCTACTTGCATGGGTTGGTTGTCTCATCCCTGTGAACACATGACTTGCTGTGCCGTTTTTGTAGCGCAGGTGACAAGAGTGTCTTAATGAAAACAGTGGCATCTCACATATCCGCTTCACAGCTCTCTCATCTTAGCTCACTCTTCACCAACATACTGCATGTCTTTCCTCATACTTAAAGTGACCCATTAATAGTCTGAACACAAACAGCCACGGGCAGACTATACAGTATGCAGGTAGTCCTCGACTTATATCAGTTCATTTAGTGACCGTTTGAAGTTACAACGGCATTGGAAAAAGTGACTTATGACCATTTTTCACACTTACGACCCTTACAGTATCTCTAGGGTCATCAAGATCCAGATGCTTGGCAACTGACTCATTTTTATGAGGGTTGCAGAGTCCCCCGGGGTCATGGGATCCCCTTTTGTGACCTTCTGACCAGCAAAGTCAACGGGGGAAACCAGATTCACTTAACAACCAGGTTACTAATTGAACAACTGCGATGATCCCCCTTAACAACTGTGGCAAGAAAATTCGTAACACAGGGGGAAAAATTCACTTTCACAACTGCCTCGTTTAGCGATAGGAATTTCAAGGTTCAATTGTGGTCGTAGGTTGAGAACTACCTGTATAAACATCTTTTCGCTGAGACCATGTTAAAAATTGGACCGAACAAAAAAATAATATGGCAAGGAAGGCATTGAACTAAAGGCAGGCAGATTTTAAGGTTGTCCTAAGCCAGGGCTGTCAAACTCCTGCCCCACGGGCCGGATGCATCACCTGCTGGCCACACCCATGCCCGGTTTAGCAAAGGGGGGGGAAGTCCCGATACATCAAGTGACACAGCTATGACAACATGAGTTTGACACCCCTAATGTCTAGTCCACATTCAGCTACAGCAGCTCACTGGGTGAGATGGTGTCAATCATTCTCCCTTAGCCCAATCCATCTCTTGTGGTTGTTGGGGAGGACAATTAGAACTGGGAATGCAGTGTGTGCTGCCTTGAGTTACTAAAAGAAAACGTAGGATATTATGCTGATAAACAACAAAAAGCCATGTTTTCCACCCCACATTTTTATCTACCTAGATCTAACACTTAAAACAGCCACTGTTGGTGGCATGTACTTATGAGGAAGCATCGGCACGTTGGGACAAATGAAATAACTGGGGAGGGGGAAATGGATTTGCACGCAGAAGTCGCTGTATCTTGCCTTCTAAAAGTGTACAACATTTATTTCAGTCTTGTGCTCCAGCTGGGGGAAGGCTGATCTAGTTACCACCTGTTACCGAGTTCCTTTAAATGGTTTAAAAGTAGCAGAATAAGATTTCCGCTGTTACTAAAAGTAGCTCAAAACACTATTCTTATTCTGCTATTTCTACTGCCTATAAATCCTAAATATTGCTTGGAGTTACCAGGTCTTCAAAGGTGGTTTTCCCTAACTGGATGCATTTGGGTTCAAACAACTAAGCTAAAATCAAATCATTTTCTTTCTGGCTTGTTGTATTTCTACAAGAAATTACTGTATGGTGAAAATGATGGAGTAGCACGGTATCTCTACCAGATTATTGAGCAATTAAACTTTCCTGGCTGAAAATCAAAGTTAAAACTCTTTGAAATGGTAGCTGATCAGCTGCATCTCCTTAACCCATTAGAAAGTTCAAGAGGACAGACATAATTAGGGACTGGATACCAAGGAACTGGTTTCATACAGGTATCACAGATCTTCCATGAAGAATATACAACTTTGGTCTCAGCAGGTGAAAGCACCAGACAAATCTTATTTGAGATTGGGGGATAAGCAGGATCAGTTTGGGTTAAAACGTGAATGGGAGACCACCAAAAATCCCACGATGGTCAGTTGGAATGCAAAGTTGAAAAGGTATTCAAGAAAACAATAACTTTCAGTTGTGGTGGTAACAAAGGATAAAAACATCACCTGTGTCATAGTCAGAAGTCACAATTAACAAAGGAATTTTCAGCTTTTAAAATGCTATTATATATTATTTCCTAATAATCATTTACTTCTCCATAACTTCATGAAACTTTAGAGAAAGATATTTAAGTGCTTTGATTTTTATTGACTCTGGTTTTCAGAACCTTCCGCACAAAATGGGTGGTTTGGTTTTTGGTTCAGTGTTGTGTGACTCTGGTCAGTCTTATGTGACTGGTTTTTGGCTCAGTGTTGTATTCAGCAAACCAGATCCAAGGAATCACATCATGACTGGCCTCTAGTGGCCTGATTACTCATTACATTTCAACCATGCAAGTTCACAGTTGTTGCCACACAGTTAGGTTACCCTGAATGAATTCTGTTTCAAAATGAAGGATTTTTGTTGGGGAGGAAAAGAAACGAAAGACAGAGAGAGAGAGAGAGAGAGAGAGAGAGAGAGATGGAAGCTTGATCTATCCTTGATATCTACCCTTGGTATCCTTTCTATATTTATTTCTAGAAGCTAAGCTACGAAAGATCGGATCTGGTTAATGCCTGAATGAAAAACTAGTCAGGAACATTTAGAATAGGGCAGTGTGTGTAGTTTTAGTGGCACCTGTAATACCACTGCTCCGTGAGCAGCATTGGCTACCAGTCTGCTTCTGGGTTGGTGATCACCTTTAAAGCCCTTCATGGCATGAGTTCAGGTTACTCACCCCACTGGGATTGGCTCGTAGTAGCAGAGCAGGTACACTTGTAGATCCCATCAGCCCTATTAATCCAGCTCGCGGGGTCCAGAAAGAGGGCCTTCTCCGCTGTTGCTCCTGCCCTCTGGAGCAGCTCCCCCCCCCACATGTGAGGTTGACCCCAACCTCCTATCTTTTCATAAGGGCCTAAAGACATGGCTTTGCCAGTCGGCTTGGGGCCCCAGTGGAAGAACAGCGCAATGGAGGTGGTTGATTGAGTAATAACAAATCCCAACTTCCTTCCCATTCCGCCCCCTCCCCATATGTCTTTGGCTGTAAGGTTCTATGTTTTAACTTCTATGTAACTACAAGCTGCCCAATTACCCTAAAATGGGCAGCCAATAAATAAATGTATATATATTTAAAATAAATAAATAAATATATATACAATAAATGTATATATATTTGCAGAGTGCTTTCAGGTATATATATGATAGATAATATATATATATATATGATGGGCTTTTAGATATTTTATGTTTATAAGATATATATAAAATCTGAAAGCACCCTGCAATTTGGAGGAAAGCTGGTACATAACCAGGAAATATCTTTGCAGGAGAAAATTTTCAAAAAAAAAAGGGAAGAATGGTTTGGCGAAGGAAACATACCAAACTACTCAAACTTATTGTAATTGCAACTGTGCTAATGTTGGCAAGATGTTTTAAAAACCACAATAACATGAAACCTATATTCTTAAAGTTTCTATTTTTAAAAAAGTGAAATAGCCAACGGAGTTGATTACTACTTTTCTTATTACAAATATTCTTTTAGGATTGACTCTCTTCAAAAGTAATTTAACAGTTGTACTATTTCTTAAAGGAGAGTCTTGGACATGAGCTTTTAAAAGATGCTGCTGCTTTAATAAATAGAATTACTAAAGCACTGGATCTTCAATATATTTCCTAATGCAGGATCTTTTTTTTTTTCAAAGTGTAGCCCTAAATAAGTTTCATATTTATTGTAAAACAAATGCTTATAAAAGTAACCAGTAAAAGGGTTAAAAATAAGTGACTACATTTTTTCTCTGTAATAAGAAGATCTGCTCAGCAACATCTAGCCATGTTTCCCACTCACTAACAAATATTACTATCATACAATTTGGCGGATAATCAAACCAAATTGCTATTATGGTCAGAAACCTTTTTATGAAGATGGGAGATGAAAATGAGCTTTCCTCCCCCATCTTCATAAAAGCTCCCAGAAGATGAGGTGAGGAGCAGGCTGAGAAGAAAAGATACAAGGTGCATCATATCCTCTATTAATTTCTACTCTGAGGTAGAACATTTTATGTATTTAGTCTCCTTTCAAAAGTAGGTTTTTTAAATATATATAATTATTCATGACAATGTATTTGTTAGGTGTTAGATTAAAATTAAGAGAAAAATATACTGGGAATATTGATCTTTTAGAATCAACAGAAGATGACTTAAATTTTGATTATTCATTTAAATTTAAAAAAACTGTTGTATTATTATTTCTGTACTGAAACAATTTTGAGGTCATCTTTGTTCATTGTATTTTTTTTTTGGTCACTTTTTAATCTGTCCTGTTATTCCCCTGTTTCCCCCAACACCTTTACATTAGTTTGTATTTTAAGTTGATTTTGAACCTTAATAAAAATATTTGAAAGAAACAAGAGAAGAAAAAAAGGGAGGAGGTAGAGAAGGAGGAAGAAGAGCGGGGAAGGGGAAAGAAAAAGGAGAGAGGGAAGAACAAGAAAAAGGAGGAGGAGGAGGAGGAGGAGGAGGAGGAGGAGGAGGAGGAGGAAGAGGAAGCAAACAGCATGCAGAATGAAAAATAAGAAAAACTGTACCTTTCCTGAGCTGGGTATCATTATATAAGGACACAGCACCACACACCGCAATTCTCCCATATGTCTTCATTTGCTCCAAAACAATGCTGGAAAATTCTCCTCCCACCTGGTGGAGATATAGACAACACAACATTTGCCAAAACAAAAATACTCCACAGAGAAGGGATATTGATGACTGATCTACATGGAATTGTTTTGAAAGAGCTCCACTAATACCCATAATCTGTTCTTAGAAACAGAGATCACAGGGGGAAAAAAATGCAGGGTTTTGCTTCAGGAATTTCAAGCACTTAAAACATCTCCCAGTCAGAGGAAGCAGGAGTTCACCTGTAATACGAAAGCGGTGGATTTTCCATTCCGCCACAAAAGCTTTCCTTCCCCTTTTCTTTTTGGCAAATCTGCCTAAAACTGATCCGCGTAAACTGCAGGCGAGTTCTGGAAGCCCAGAACAGGCTGAAAAAAGACAAGAGGAATTTGAGCTGCCAGTGGATAGAAATACTCAGGTAACACCTTCACTGATTTTTCTAAAAAAAAAAAAAAAAGCCTTAAAAGACAAAATCGGGGCATAAACACTACCACAGCTTTGATCAAATATTTTGGTAAATGTAAAATGGGGCGGGGGGAATTACCCCCTGAGAATGAATAAAGATACAAGCTGTTATGAACAGGGGTGGGCTTCAAAAATTTTAGCAATGGGTTCTTAGCCCAGTTGCTGGATGGGCGTGGCCAAGATGGGCATGGCCTACTCGGCCTCCTGCACCACAGCGGGGCAGGTGCTTTTTGCCTTCCTTGGGCTCCGGAGGCTTTCCTCGAGCCTGCAGAAGGGCAAAAACGGCATCCCCGGGCTCCGGAGACTCTCTGGGAGGCAGAAATGGGCCCATTTCTGGCCTTCCTGAACTTCCGGGAGGCCCATTTTTCGCCCTCCTCGAGTCTCCGTGTGTGCCCTGCACTTCCCTGCATCCAAAACAGACCGTATGGGGATTCCTGGGAGGGGTGGGCGGGGCCAGCCAGGAGTGGGATTTGGGGATTCTCTGAACTGCACAGAATCTTAGCTAGGGGCTCTCCCCCGAACCCCTGAGAACTCCCAGCAGCCCATCCCTGGTTATGAGTGAGCAAAGGGTGGGGGTGTCTTCTCTGTGCACTTGTGACTACATACGTCAACTCCACCTTAATCACAGGATCCATTTTTCAAGTTTGTTTTGTGTTTGAAATAGTCACACAAAAAGTGTCCAAAGGTCAAAATACTTTGGGAATCATAAGATCAACCCTTTTTGAACACCAAATAATCATTTGGGGCTTCAATTGGATCAAATTCAAAACGTTTACACACACCTCCCAATAGTCTAAATCAGGGCTGTCAAACTTGCGGCCCGTGGGCCGGATGTGTCACACACTGGCCACGCCCATGCCCGGTTTAGTGAAGGGGAAAAAAAACCACACGATACGTCACATGACGGCGCCATGACGACGCAAGTTTGACACCCCTAATCACGTAAATGGTTCAATCAGAAAAAGAAAACCACTTTTTTCAGAGGAAGGAAGAAGAAAACCCAAACAATTCATCCAATTTAAAGTAAGGCAATCCTTTGGGGCTCAAAAGTATGCAGGTAGTCCTTGACGTATAGCAGTTCATTTAGTTACAGACTGTTCAAAGTTACAACAGCACTGAATAAAATGACATATGATCACTTTTCACAGTTACAACTTTTGCCGGTCCTCATGTTAACATGTCCTTCATTCACACCTGATCATCCTCCTCTCATATTCTTACAGGTGCTCAGAAACATACATATACAGGTAGAGGAGCAAACCTTCCAGCTGCACCCATATAAGTAAGGTCACAAAAACATATACAATTGCTTCAAAATGGAAGCGGTATGCTCCATCCCCTAATAGGGTAGACCAGGTTGCTCTAATAAAAAACACGTAATTTTATCCCTAATATAACTGACAAAGGGATGAGAGCCCATGGCTTAGAAGTTAATACATCTACCTAATATGCAAGTAGCCTGGATTTGAATTCCAGAGGAGTATGGCTAGCTGATGAGAGCTAAATAGTTTGAAATAGATCTATACTAATCTCCCTTTATTTCTTTGTCGGTAGAACATAAATTTAACACTTGCTTTAATGCTTCATGCCTACACTGAAAAACGTTATCTAGAAGGGGAAATATGGAGTTGCCTGCTTACCTCCCAAAGAAGCCATTTTTTTAAATCTTATTTTTGTGATTATTGCCATTAAGTATGCACTATGCCTTATGCATAGTATGTGGTGGCTCAGTGGCTAAGATGCTGAACTTGTTGATCAGAAAGGTTGGCAGTTTGGTGGTTTGAATCCCTAACACTGCGTAACGGAGTGAGCTCCCGTTACTTGTCCCAGCTTCTGCCAGCCTAGCAGTTTGAAAGCATGGAAAAATGCAAGTAAAAAAATAGGGACCCCTTTGGTGGGAAGGTAACAGCGTTCCGTGCGCCTTCAACATTTAATCAGGCCGGTCACATGACCATGGAGACGTCTTCGGACAGCGCTGGCTCTTCGGCTTTGTAACAGAGATGAGCACTGCCCCCTAGAGCCGGAAACAACTAGCACCTTTTACCTTTTTATGCATTATGCAAGGAGACCGGTGGTGGCCTTGGTCTGCCTGGGAGAGAGGAATGCAAAGGGTGAGAGGGGTATCCCAAAATATAAAAAAGCCTGACTTGGGGACTGCAGGAGAGACTTAAGGATGAAGGGCTGCTTTTCTTTGCCATGATCAAAACAGCTTTCAGCACAGGAAGTTCCTTAGATCAGCTTCCCTTCCTTATTTTAGGCCAGTTCGAAATTAAGCTCTGTCTTGTACGTACGTTATCAAAGTAGCAGTTGTAGCCATCGGGGGAAGCATCTCTCAGGGCCTGCTCCAGAGATTTCACTGTCTTATAGTTAAAGACTTTGTCAAAGCCAAGTTCCTTAAGGTAATCCAACTTCTTATCAGAACCTGCAGTGCCGACCACTTTACAACCCTGCCAGTTTAAACAGAAATAACCATGAGGGCCAGGTTCCTTGGAAAGCTATGCGTGTTTCTTCATAAACCTTCAATAGGTAGTGATGATAGGCAGGCAGAGATGGCCAGGAGGCAGGTAGGAGAGATTGGATTGGATTCATGGGATTAAATTGGGTGGAGATAGCTGGGGAGGTCGGAGAGAGAAAGAGACAGAGAGAGAAACTTTATCACAATATATGCCAGCTGAAAAAAGGATGAGTTACCAAGTAAAAACCAAAGTAATACCCAAGAATTACAAATCTGGTGTGGTTAAGGTGTAACATGCAATAAAACAAAAAGCCATGTTAGCAGAAATAAAATCCCTTTGATCAGATAGAGAGTGTTGTGGCTGTCAGGCACAAAACCAAGATTGACACGTGGCAATTCTTCCAAGCTGAATTCTTTATTGTTTCACACCTATAGAAAAAGCCCGCCACACTGAGGAGTCTGCTTTCTGCACCTCAAATATACTCTGCAAAGTATTAGGGAGGATCTGTCCCGCCAATGGTGGGATTCAAAAATTTTACTACCGGTTCTGTGGGCATGGCTTGGTGGGCATGGCAGGGGAAGAATACTGCAAAATCCCCATTCCCTCCCCACCCCACTAACCTGCTTTACAGCTCCATTCTCCTGTACGGGGCAACAAAAGAAGGCCCAGCCAATCAGCTGGGACTCAGGAGGCAGAGAATAGATGGGGGCGGGGCCAGTCAGAGGTGGTATTTGCCGGTTCTCCGAACTACTCAAAATTTCTGCTATCAGTTCTCCACAACTGGTTGGAACCTGCTGAATACCACCTCTGGTCTTCACCCTCTTTCTCTCACACATAATATCTGGGCTGAGCTGCTCTTACTCCTATGGAATGCACCCCGCCCTCCTGGTAATCCCTACATTCCATCCCAACGGCACTTGAAAGAGTAACACCAACTTTTTATGGAAGAAGCTTCCACAGATAATGTAATTACTTAATTGCAATGAAGACACAGCTAAATGAAATTTGCCTACTGTAGCAAAACGTATCATATGGAATAAAACTATGTTGATAGGGTTTAAAAGGCCTCTATGGAGCGAGTGTATTGAAAAGACGCTCTATGGAATAAGTGTTACCTGACACGGTTGAGACCAAGTTGAAAATAAATTTTAAAACAACAGGCTGCAACAATTGACATGGAAAAAAGATGTTATACCGGACATACAAAATAAACCAGATGAAGTCTTAATAATAAAAATGGATACACAAAGAGGATTTATTCAAGCTTATTCAAGTTTTACAGAATTTCATAGAAGGGGACAAAGAAAACATTTTAAAAACCATGTTTTTGGACATTATCTGAAAGGGCTGAAGATCAAAAGTGTTGACGCAAAAGGAAGGAATATGAAGTTTTGTTTATGTGATCAAAGTTAAAATGGATATGTTATCTCTGGTAACTATTAATGGACATTAGCTAACCTCAGGACCAAAATAATGAGGTTTTGTGAATTTGTTTATACAGTAAATAAGAGGTGGGATATTGAGAAGAGAGGTCATTGATTATTGAAGGGATCATTGATATTGAAGGGACATTGAGAAGAGATGGTTGTAGTGTAAGAGAAGGCAATAAGTTACTAAAATAGTTTATACTTGTCTTGAAATGGGAAAGTCACTTCTTTATGTATCTTATTATATTTTTAATTTTTCTTTGTCTTTTATATTTTTAATAGTTTTCTGTACCTTTTCCTCACTTTTTTCTTTTGTATTAATTTCTATTGTTGTAAACTGTAAGCCTTTAATAACTATTAAAAAGAGTATTTTTCTGGCCGCAAAGAATGAACTTTTCTATAAAGCATAGACATCCTATAGGAGCCACAGTGACATCCCCAAAACATTATAAAAATTATAAATATGAGAATAATGTAATTGGCATAAGTCACATCATAATGTTTGATGTGAAGGTTATACAGTGTGTAGTTGGGACCAGTGAGTGATGCTATCATGAGAAGTGTGATGTCATGTATCATGTTCCCCCATCCCATGACTAAATGGCCATGTTGCAAATGAGGTGATTATGTGCAGAACCTTCTTTGCAGTGTCAATCAATCAAGGCACATGGAGGTAAATAGACCAGAGACAAGCAAACCAGATCTTTTGTAATTCTTATCCATTGATCCAGCTGTTATAAGTTGAAATCCAAAACATTTCATATCCACTTACCATAATTTTAGCAATCTGCCCAACCACGCTGCCCACAGCACCAGCTGCTGAATTAACTAGGACAGTATCTCCTGGTTTGGGCCTGCAGATCTCAAGTAGGCCAAAATAGGCAGTAAGACTGCAAGGAAAAGAAATTAAAAGAGTGTGCAAATAAACACTGATGTCATGACATGTCCCAAACATAAAAACCGAACAGGACTCAAATGCGAACATTCACCACTAATGGGAATAACCTAGTTGCACACAAAGACTGTCTTTACAAACACCACAGAATAAGTGGGATTCCTCAATTTTGAGGATTAGTAAACACAATGGGAATTTTGAAATAGTACAAGTAGTCTTCAACTTTCAACAGTTGTTCAGAGTTGCTGTGGCACTAAAAAATTTTTTTGAAAAAAAGTGACTACGCTTTTTTTTTTTTTAACACTTATGACTGATACAGCATCTCCATGGTCACATAATCAAAATTTGGATGGTTCACCACTGGTTCATATTTATGATGGTTGCAGAGTCCTGGGATTGTGTGATCTACTTTTGGGAATTTCTGACAAGCAAAGTCAATCAGGAAGCCAGATTCACTTAACAACCAGGTTCCCAATTTAACAACTGCAGTGATTCACTTAACAACTGTGGCACAGAAATCTTGTAAAATGGGGTAAAATTCACTTAACAACTTTCTCAGTTAGCAAACTATCCGCCATACGATTTCCAATACTTTAGCTAACCTCAGGACCAAAATGATGAGGTTTTATGGATTTGTTTATGAATAAGGGGATATGGGAAGAAGAGAATATTGTTTGTATTATAAGAGAAGATGCTAAGTTACTAAAAAATTTTACTTGTCCTGAAATGGGAAAGTCACTCCTTTAGAACTGAGTACACACACACACAGCTTTAACATTTCCTGAATATATTAGCCAGTTATTAGCCAGGATCTGTATTAGGGACACCTATCCACCCTCTCATGTGCTCTCTATCACCTCACCCATGTCTGTCATTCTCTGGGCAGATGGGCCAACTTCCAAAAAATTGGAATGCAGCCTCCTAGTTACAATATAAAGATGGATCAATAGGAAAATAGGTGGCTGAAAGGACTAAAATTCACTGTATGTTATCATTTAAAAGAGAATGTTTACACAATTGTATGCCATTGATATATGACGCCAGGGAAAAAACTTTCTAGAATATATAAAGGTGTTTCAAAAACATGTTGGAAATATGAAAACATAAATTTTTATTATGCTTGGTAGATCTGCAAAAAGGTCAGATCTGTAAAAAGGTCAGAATTTTTCAGGTTCAAATATATACAATGATACAAAGAATTGTAAAGATTAGGATTTAACTAGAAGCAGAACTTTTCCTGCACAGACAACTAGAAAAGACTTACTGTTTTTATACATGGTAAATGCAGCAATGTTATTCTACTGTATGCATAAAACACTAAAATATCCACAAAGGAGGAATGGTTGGTGAAGATGACAAAATGTGCAGGGATGGCAAAATTGTTTGATTAAGGAAAAGGCAATAACTATGTTCTGTAGAAGAGCAGGCAGAGCTAGGGTGGGGTGAGTCAAACATGTCATCAGCTTAGAGTCCTTACATTGCCACAAATGATCCATATCCAGCCATCTTAGAATTCAATTAAACCTTATCTAGCACCAATTTAATTAATTGATTAGAATCTTGTGTGTAGGCTTGAATAAATCTTCTATGTTGCAACCTGACATATGATCCTGATCCTTTGTGCCTGATAACCATTTGTGACTGGAAACCCTATGTGTACTTCTTGCTGAAAGAAGAAAAAATGAACTTATGAAATATGGGTCAGATGATTAGAAAGAGTAGCATACGGAAAGAAGGGACTTGGGATGTAAGTTTAGGAAGGCTAAATATAAATATGTTTATTATAACTGCTGTAAATTGCTGGAAGCTATTTATTTATATCTTTCTTTTTATTTTTTTAATTTCTTTTCTGTTTACTTATCACTTTTACTTTAGATCCTTTTAAAAAAATTGTATTGTTTTTACTTTGCAAAAAAATCTTTTAACGAATTTTAAAAAGAAAATAAAAAAAATAAACGCACTCAGGAGGGCCATGGGACCTGGTTAAGGTCTCAGAAAGACGTTTCTGGACATGTTGATGTTCAGGGACCCTGCATCGGTATCAGGGAATGAAGAATTAGGCTGACAACCTCTGAATACTAAGTAAATACAGTACCTTTCCTAGGTAAAAGGTATTTTTCACATAGGCTGCCTGATTGTGGAACCGTCAACCTTAGCTTTTAGGGCCTATGCAGCACCACATTCAGCTCAAGCCTCATGTAGCAGAATTCAAAGACTGGGTTACAACCCATCACATCAACTCCATGGAGTACATGATTAAGGTACACTTACCCTGGCATGCCAATTGTTCCAAGAGCCAATGACTTTGGAAGATTTTCTGGCCAGTTTGGAGGCAGTGGTGATAGATCTTTGCCATTGGAAATAAAACATGTTGTCCAGCCCGCAGATGCCACCACAAAAGTTCCTACAGGAAATGAAGGATTTCTGCTTTCCAAAACCCTTTGAAAAGAACACAGGTACCCAGTTATACTAGTTTCTACAAAGAAACTCTATGTACTTCAAACATAACCAGTTTTTAATCATTCTTTCTAAACATCTTTGAAGGAGCAGTGTAACTCTAAACCATTGCAGGGAATGTTGATGTCGTGAGTGCTGTGAGTCTGTCCTAGGCATATTTCAATTCATTTTTTATTATTCTGAAAAGTCCTAAATGGCTTTGAAATATCTAAAGCAGCATTTCCTTCCATCATTTGAGAAGAAGAGGCCCCAGAAGAGAAGTTAGTTACGGTCCCTGAATTAGAATATTTTCAATATCAAGCAAAGAACTTTTCAGGCCTTCAGAACTTGATTTTATTACTTGTATTGTGCTGGGAAGGTTTTTTTCCCCACTGAATCTTTTGTTAATGTTTATTCAGCTATCCTTGGAACAGCACTAGCGATACAGCTTGCTTTACCGTAGGGTGCTATTTGAAGATTCTTAATTATGCATTTGTTTTCTTCAATTCGGACAAAGCCACAAAGTCTATCAAATTGACAGATCTTATTGACTGTGTATTATTTACTATTTATACTGGAGCCTTAATGAGGACCTTGTGCAATTTCTTTTATTCAGCTCACACCTGTTTCCAACAGAAATCAGGCACAAAATGTGGGTGTTTTATTTTATTTTTTATTGCCCAATGCTCAACCTCAACTTCACCTGGAAGAAAGGAAGACCAGCAGCTGGTGGAATAGGAAATAAATCAAGGTAGGCCTTACTTTGCAACTTGAGACCCTATCATAATGTCCCCTTCTTTCATGAGACTCTTGCTGTATGGTCTGCAAAACAAAAATGAAACAAAAATAAATGTATAATTTTTTTGTTTAAATAAAAACAAAACATTGGACCGATTAATGACTGACATAATTGACAGGCTTAGTTCACAATAGGGCAGAAGGACATAAATGTGAGTGATTTGACTTGGACTCAAGTCAAATCCATTTCACAATGAACATAGGGCAGAGCCTGGCCTTTATGAATTGTTTTGTATCTAGCGATGACAGCAATGCAATACTTCGATCTGCAGCAATAAGTTGCTTCCTGTGGCAACTTTTTATTTAGGTCAAATGAAAGTACATAATTAGACATTAATGTAAGTTACAACAAATTCAAATATGGAGAGGGAGTTACTCGTTCAGGACACAAAGTAGGTACGGTACCTGTTTGTGTTAGGTCAAAAGCCTTTTAGTGTGTTCAAACATTGATTAAATGTTCCATTCTCTGGACCATGAGAAACCACAAAAATATGCCAGTATAATTTGCTTTGGCTAAATGTCTAGAACAGCAGGCTTAGCCATCCATCGTATCTTTAAATAATAGCATTGTTCTCTTGAACTTGGAGTATCTCTTGCGATAGCAACTAGATCAGAATCGCTCTAAGCAGTAGATCAGGACATCAAATCCCAGTGTACCATGCAAGGAAGGGCTGGTCAGAGGACAGAGAAGTGTAGTTTATTTTTAATGATGGTGACTTACTTGCAAGTGTTAGAAAAAGCAATTGATCAAGACCAATCTGAAATGATTGGCTTGCCAGATTAATGTAGAAACAAAAGGATCTGCCTACAGATAGCCTCCGACTTTATGACCACATTTAAGTGAAAAATTGTCTGTTGCTAAGCAAGAAAGTTGCTAGGTGAATTTTGCCCCATTTTACGACCTTTCTAGCCACAGTTATTAAGTGAATCACTGCAGTTGTTCAGCTGTTCATGTAGAGGCATGTCTCTAACATCCCAAAACAGCCAATTTCTGGCCTACAAGCCTTGTGTTGGGAAAAGATGAAAAATACCACTTCCACATTTTAGAGAAAAATTTGAAGTTAGCCAGCCTCGATTATCGGTTGGGAAAGAGACGAAGGCTACGTCATATGCATGTGCCCATAAGGTTGAATGAGTAAGGCATCTTTGGGCCAAAATTAGGAACATGGGTGTATACTGTACTCCGTAGGATCCAATCTGGGTTGGTCCCTGGGACCAGCGGTTTAATCTTCTGAGCTTTTGGACTTGTGCTGGACCCTATCCTCAGGTAACTTCTCTCTCCTCAGAAGGAGTGAGAGACACATTCTGGCGAGGGAGAAGTTGCCCGAGGATGGGGTCTAGCGCAAGTCCAAAAGCTCAGAAGATTAAACCGCTGGTCCCAGGGACCAACCCAGATTGGATCCTGTAATATTATCCTTGGGACACATATATCATACTGTCTCCTGCCAGAGAAAAGGCTGTTGAGATAATAATTGGGAAATTAGGAGAAAAGGTCAATGGTCAGAATAAACTAGGGTTTTGGTACTGAAACACAAAGTCAAACAGTAGTACCTCATATAGGGGTCAACACTGAGAAACACACTTTCAAGCAGCATCTCTGAAACACAGAAGAAAAGATTATGAAAGATCAAGTTAATATATTACTGGAGGGAGAACTACCACTTGATAATTTTCTAATTTCTTTTATAGGAAACCAGGGAGGAATGGATAGAAAATGGGAGAAGTGCACTCGTCTGGAAATGAAACTTATGTCCATGAGGGAAGGAGTTTCTTTATCCCACAGTATTTTACCGGTTAATAAAAATGTGTAGTTTTATACTATTTTTTGTTAAAATTCTTATTATATATCTTAAGAAAAATAAGAAAGAAATAGAAGGAAACACATTATACCAATAAAGAGATGGGAATAGCAAGGAATACAAATTTCCATGTATTTATTATTTTTTATTCATTCAGTTTGAGAACTGGGGTAGAGAGCAAAAAATTAGAAATTTTGGATTTGGAGGAATAGATAATAAAATATGTCCAAAAGTGCTATTTTCTTCTAAATTGTGTGATGATTTTCTCAGTGAATTTTTATGGCCAAATTATGTAAGAGCAGATCATTTCAAAAACATATTTTCTAAATTCACCAACTCAACTCTTAAAACAGTCTTTTATTTTATATATTCACATCCAAACACTCTTGGTTCATGATTTAATTAACTAGCTTTCAATGATATAGTTCCTCACTTTCCAATCTTGCCTTCATTTGTCTTGCTTCCACATTTATTTGTGAACTTTTTAAAAAAACACCAGTCATATATTCATTTTTCATGATTTATCTTCCCCCTAAATCTATGTCTTTGAAGGCATTTGTCATAATGCAATTTTTCAAAGCAATTTTCTTAGTGTAATATCTTTAATATTTTCTGCAAGATATGTGTGGGAAGGAACCATAATTTAAAAAAAACACTAGGACAAAAGTTGACATGGGAAACCTGTAATATAAATGCACAATCAAATGATTCCTCTTACCTCCATCTTTTAGATTTGGTAGGTTTATCTCTATTAATTCAAAGTTGCTCGGCTTAGGAGGCCCTTCAAAATGCTTCTTCAGGATCCAAGCCTTTGCCCGCAACATTTTCCACAGCCTGAATGATTAAATAAGAATTTGGCAACTTTATACCAATAGCACTAAGGCTTATATACCACTTCACAGTACTTTACAGCCTTCTCTAAGAGGTTTACAGGGTCAGCATATTGCCCCCAACAATCTGGGTCTTCATTTTACCGACCTTGGAAGAATGGAAGGCTGAGTCAACCTTGAGCCAGACAGGATCAATCTTCAGGCAGTGGGCAGAATCAGCCTGCAGTACAGCATTCTAACCCTGCACCACCATGGCTCTTATTGCAGTAATTTCCTGAAGTTTAGATTCCTAAAGAATTATTGTTCTCCTGGCCAAAGCTGGCAACGCCTTTCGCTCAGAGACTGAGAAAATCCCAGATTTGTTCTTTTATTTCTAGAACAATAGATCTCCTCAATGCAGGCAGAGGGACAATCCAATTCATGACACATGCCCTTCCTTATTCAGACATAGCCATCAAGAGGATCTTTCCCCCTCAAAAAATCTGTAGTCTTTGCCAGTGGTAGTAGGGAATCCATTGTCTCCCAGTGGTATTCCTGCCCATTCATGAGCACGATAAGAAGTGATAATTCTAATATTATTTTAAACCTCATGGGACATAGTGTATAGTCAAGAAAGTTGCCTTTTTCCCCCCTCACAAAAGTACATTTGCAACATTAAAGGAAGGGTGGGAAAATTGTAATTCCCTCAAGTTATTGCTCGACCATAACTCAAAGAGTAGCCATACCGGGACCAATAGCAGTCAAGACTCCAATACATTCAGATGGGATATTGCTTCGACACTCAGATTTATAAATCTGGATAGAGTCATATCCTCCTCATACAATGTGAATCTTCAAGATCAGTATTAAGGTTCTGAATAATAGCAATAGCACTTAGACTTATATACCCCTTCACAGTGCTTTACAGACCCCTCTAAGCGGTTTACAGTGTCAGCATATTGCCCCCAATAATCTGGGTCCTCCTTTTACCAACCTCGGAAGGATAGTTGGTTGAGTCAACCATAAGCCGGTGAGACTCGGCAGTCAGCAGAAGTAGCCTGCAGTACTGCATTTTAACCACTAAGCAACCACAGCTCTGTATACTAGGATAGGATGTGCCAGAACATTTGTCCCTTGCAAATACAGGTAGTCTAGTCCTCAACTTACAACAGTTTACTTAGTGACTGTTCAAGTTATAGCAGCACTGAAAAAAGTAACTTACAATCATTTTTCACATTTTATGATCGATGCAGCATCCTCATGGTAACCTGATTTACATTCGGATGCCTGACAACCAACTCAAATTTATAACAGTTGCAGTGTCCCCTTTTGCGACCTTCGGACAAGCAAAGTCAAGGGGTAAACCAGACTCACTTAACAACCATGTTACTAACTTAACAACTACAGCAATTCACTTAACGCTGGCAAGAAAAGTCGTAAAATGGGGTAAAACTCGCTGAACAAATTTCTCACTTAGTGACATTAATCTTGGGCTCAGTTGTGGTTGTATGTTGAAGACTACCTGTATACAGTTAGAGCTGATAAAATGAAAATAGCAAGTACATTCAATCCCACGTTTGCATGCATATTAGTGACAGTTTCAGCAATATTAGTTCATGTCTGCTTTTTTCTTCAAAGCATATGAAAGCTCCAGGAAACACATTCATATGACTGCATGCCAGTCAGTGCCCAACATTGCTTTCTGCCATAAGAAAAGTCACTTTGGTGAAGAAAAATGAGAGAGAAATAAAGTGGGAATGCTCAATTGAAACGATTCCTCCATGAATGTTAAGTCAAAATGGTCAGAAGTCAACATAAATCATGATTTGAACGTAACCCTCTTAACAGAAATGTAGGGTTTTTAAATTTGGATTAGCATGCTGTGACCACAGCTATGTTTTTTGTTAAACTCTTACTTTATAGCTTAGTGTGATTTGTGAATCAAGCAAATTGTGGCATACTCAATGAACCATGGTTAATCTGCAGTCTATTTTATTTTATTCAAAAAGTTAACATACTTTCTTTTTAAAAAAATCAAAAGTTAATCTGCAAACTCTTCCTTAATTTCAACAGATATTTCTCCTAGATTTTGTTACTTTTAATACTTGCTTACCTTTCTCCAGCTTATCCCTATACCCACTCCCCTAAAGGTCATCTCCCTCTGAATCCAGTGAGACTTTAATGAAATCATTTTAAGGCCTTTCAGTTTGAAAGGTTAAAAGGGACTCTGTCCCGGCACTGAAATTAAAAAATAACTGGCATTTCCAGTTAAAATGAGTTAGAAATTGTTCCCTAATTTAAAAGTTCATGTGATTTTCCCACTGCAATACTGCATTGGCCTTTATTTTCATAGTGCAAGTATTTGGTTTTCTAGATCAACTCCCCCCCCACACACACACACACATTTAAGAGCATTTCTACCTACCACTGGACCCCAACATTTGATAAATTTACTTCATGCATTTCAAAGCTAGTTAGCCCGACATATTTAATCTCCTGCCCCAGGACTTCCCAAATGAAAGCGATATCGTCTGTCAGAAATGGTGTAGAAGGGTCTCTTGCTTGGGCTGAGGCGGAAGGGGTGGGGGGGTTAGGCTAGATGACCTACAAAATCCCTTCTAACTCTGTTAATCTGTTAATCTATATAATCTCGCTAATGATGATAATGATCCCACTACAAACAAATGCGCAGGACAGCCTCGCTCTGAAACCGTGTGGCGCCTTGATATTAAGTTTCTGCATTAATGTCAAAACTCTGAAAAAATCTCTCTCTCTCTCTCTCTCTCTGTGTGTGAATATCTACACGAATCAGCCAATCATTTGTTGTACAAGACAGCCACGAAGCTCTGTTCGAGTCCCCTTGGGCGACAAACGCAGACTTTTGATTTCTGCTTTCTGTTTTTTACACACACACACACACACACACACACGCACCCACCCCCCGATCTTCTTAAGACGGGTAGCGTCCAAAACCCAACACATCTCAACGAAAAGTCGCCTGTCTCTGCTTGGGCTGGGGCGGGGGCGGGGGGGGGGAGGTTAGACTAGATGACCTACAAGGTCCCTTTCAAGTTTTGCTAATGTGATTGTTTCTATTGTTCCAGTCCGCCGCTCAACCGGATCCCTGCAGCCCAGCCGACTAACCTGCGCGGCAGCCCGAAGCAGATCCTAGTGTGCAAATTCCCCAAGCGGATCGCTTCCTTCTCCTTTCTGCCAACCGCTCGGTTTGCAGACGGGCGGGCTGGCTGGCAGCCATTTAAACTCTCGAGTGACTTCTCCGCAAAGCCCCGCGTCAAAGCTACCCAATTAGCAATCTGTTGCGGGAAAGGCAAGGCTCTGGTGGCTTGCCTGCTTCCTGGTCATTTTTGCAGACGGCTGTCAAAAGGCCCCAACATCAAAACGCCCCAAGACGCCTCACATCAAAGCGAAGACCCGCCTGAACAAACGAGATCGCCCATATAGATGAAGGGAGCCTGTAAAAAGGAACACATTCTCGAAAACAACTACTCTACGCCCAGCCCCAGGGACGTTTCTTGCGGTTTGCATATATATGTGTGTGTCTCTGTGTGTGTGTGTATGTTAAAATAATATTTGTGATAGATGAAAAGAAGAATTAAGGGGCCACATCAGTGCAGTATTTGAAGGGCTGCCACAAAGAAGCGGGGGTGGGGTGGGGTGTCAAATTATAAAGGACCTAAAAGCAGGACAAGAAACAATGATTGGAAACTAATCAAAGAAAGAAGCAACCTTGGAATTAAGGAGAAACTTCCTAACAAGTGAGGACAATTAACCAGTGGAACAGCTTGCCTCCAGAAATTGTGGGTGCTCCATCATTGGAGGTTTTTTTTTAGAAGAGACTGGACAGTCACTTATCTGAACTAGTTTAGTTCCTCCTGCTTGAGTAGGGGACTGGACTAGAAGATCCCCCAAGGCCCCTTCCAGTCCTGTTTTGTTCTATTCTATTCTATTCTATTCTATTCTATTCTATTCTATTCTATTCTA